AATAGGGAAGGGCGGTGTTAAGGTCAGGGGAGTTGGCGTTTCAAGAAGACAGGGTGCCCAAGTCTGACAGCTGGGTTCAGAGGTGTCCACCACTGGACTCCCGCGAGCATCTCTGCCATAAATTCCCAGACACTAACGGCAAATCCCCTCATGCTTTCCTCCCTCTGTGGCTTTCCTCCCTCTGCTCAGGAGTACGGATGATCTTAGGTCCACAGCTTGCACCCCTTCGGCACACTGACCTTGGGGGCCAGGCCTTGGCTGCGTTAATGGGGCTGGCACAAAGATCAGAACAGGGGCCTGTTCCACTGGCAAAGGGGCATTTTGGCTTTATAACAGAGACTTCAGCCTCTCAACATGTGCTGCTTTCCTCCTCGGCTCAGCTCTCCCAAGCCTCAGCTCTCTCCCTGCTAGGCTCTTGGACCCATTCCGCCCCTCCTCCCCGACCCAGGCGTCTTTCAGCACAAGTCCTGCCAGCCCCAAGCTTTGTGGTCAGCACTCCCTTGGATCTGTTTTTGCTGCAATGGGAGTGGCTGCAAGGGGGCGGATTCCAATATTTGTAGCCTCACTTCGGAAGTGGATTTTAGTGTAACCCTGAACATAAGAACGGCCACACTGGGTCAGACCAAAGGTCCATTCAGCCCAGTATCCTGTCTTCTGACAGTGGCCAATACCAGAAGCCCAGAGGGAGGGATCACAGCAGGTAATCCCCATGTGATCCCTCCCCTATCACTCACCTCCAGAGAAACCGAGGCTAAAGACACCATTCCTACCCATCCTGGCTAATAGTCATTGATGGACCTAACCTCCATGAATCTATTTACCCTGAAAACTCAAGGTCGCTATCCCCTCTGACTTTTCTATTCATTGACTCCAATTCTGTTTCCCTGGACTGAGCGTATGTTTACTCTAATTGGGAGCATGAGTTTCAAGGATGCATCAACACTGTTCTAAAATGCACCCCGAATCCCCTGTGTAGGCTTAGAGCAGGATGGTACAAGCAGAGGCACATCTTGGGGAACTGATAAAGCAGAAAAAGATAAATTCATTCTGGAAACGAAGCTTCCTCACCCGACAATATCCTTGGGAAGCCAGGGAAGGGCAGTCATGGCTACTCTGCAAGACACTGCATCAGCTTAACTTACATTGGGTTTTTCACTGATTTAGTTAAACTGATTCAAGCCACCTCTTCACCTCCGTAGCTGCTCTGATTTTGGCTTGTGTAGGTGTCTCTTAATCTACTGTAAAACCAGATACAACTAAAAATCAAACTGAACTGAAAGAAAAAGGATCTACTTAGGCACGTGCACTTGCTTCACTACAGTGGGTTGAAAACGAAAAAAGAAAAAGAACCCTCAGGCCTTCATTTAAATCAATTCAAATTCGTGTGGTGAGATGAGTAAGTCAGTGAGTGTGAGTTCCACTCTCAATTTGGTCACCTGACTTTGGAAACCCAAGCAAATGGCATCAGTAGGGTGCTAAAGCATTTTTTCCCCCTGCAAAAGATTTTGACAAAAAGACCCCGCTTAAATAAAAAAAAAAGTTTTCAAGAGAATTTTTCAGGGGCTCAGATTATTTGGTTTCACTGAAAATTCCCTCCCAACTAGCTGAAATTTGTTGGTTTTTAATGACTGACAACTCCAACGATTCAGTTTGGAGATGAAAAACCTGAAAAATGTTGTTGAAAATGTACATTTCCTAGAGAAATGTCAGTTCCGATGAAAAAGCCCTTTTTTGTCCAAAACATTTCAAAGGAAAACTCTAGACCAGCTTTCAAGCTCTGGGAAGGAAAGGGAAGAGTAGGGATGAAGTGCGAACCAGGCAATTTGTGGTGCATTGAAAGTGCTGGAGGGAGAGAAAGGAGCAGAATAGGAAGTGCGGGACTCCAGTGAGTGCAAGAAGAGTGTGGAGGAGGGGGGAAGACTGGGGGTTCACAGACCCCAGGTTGTCCACCACTGCTGTAAGCAGGGTGCTTGTGCAGCCACTCAGGAGAGATTCCAATGCTTCTCAGCTGATTAGCAGAGTACCCACCACTAGGTTTTGTGTTTCTACTGGTGGTGCACATCCGCACGTCTCAGTGCACAAAAAAATTTATTACACACATGGATGGAAAAAAATTGCACTTACATGGAAAAGATTAACAGAAACACTGCCAACAGCTCATCAGGGTTTGCCATGGGGAGAGCAGAGCATTCCGTGGAGCAGGTGGCAGCTTGTACACCCACCCTGGCTCAACCAATAGCAGCAACTGTCTTGTTTTCATGGGCACTCAAACTGATCCTAATGATTAACCAACATCAACTTCGGGATTTATTTCACAAGGCACAGACCAACAGGTGTGCTTCCCAGCCACATTTGTGCTGCACAACAGCAGCCTCCAGTGGCCAGCTGGACAATTGCAAGTATGAATTTTCAGGGATTCTCTCTTAAAGGCCTTGCATCTATTTAAAACAAGGCCCAAGGTGCAAACTCAGTCAGGCAGCAGCCCGCTCTGGTGAGCACTGCACTGTAGAAAGGCTAAAGACAGTGGAAATCAAATAGGCAGGTTCTAGATTTAAAAGGAAACATGTTAAAACCAATTAGTGTAAAAGAGTGTGTTTCGGGGGGGGGGAGGGGGGGATCCGGGGGCACACCACAACCAGGACACAGGACAAATTGAACATAAGAAGCCTGGTATAAAAATAACACTTCACAAGTTAAATGAGGACGTGAATGGCATATTTGCAACACTCTGGCTTTAAAGCTGTGCCGATCCATCTATCATGCCTTTTTACTAACACCAAATAAAGGGCCAAGAGCGCAGCGGATGAGTGCATTTAGTTCCCAATCTTCAGAGAATCTATTGTATAACTGATGCCTGGGGAAAGTTACATATGCAAAACCTCCCTGAGCACCCTTAGCCTAGCTGAACAGTTACTTGACTTCAGTGCCATCTGCCTTGCTTCTGCTACTGCAGCGGTTTGGTCTTAGCCGACAAAAGCTGCATTCACTGTAGTCCCTTCCCCGAGCAAGGGTTGAATTTGGTCCTACTTGGTTTCAACCCTTTGCATGTCCTACATTAAAAAAAATGAGTAGGAAATGCACCCATTATTACTGGCGAGGGGCATGTTCCACCCTGTACGGCTCACTAGAACTAGGGATCCCAAGAATGGGAACAGCTCAGGCAGCTGCAGCGCCAGCTGCCTCAACACCTCAGCCTGCTAAGGTCTTGGAGGTATGAAAGGGCAGGATTTCCCATGCCCCTTCAATCCCTGGCCTCCCGGAGAGGCTGCTCACAAGGGGAAGTTGATGAGTCTCCCTGGTTTGTGGTGCACGGGGACGCAGACTGAGGCTACCAAACTCTGCTCCTGCGGTACAGCCAACAGAGGGCAGGTTTTGCTACCACACTGGCTGAACTCACCCTGATCGGCCTTGGCTCTCCAGACATCCCTCCCCTCTGGGCACACCCCAGCACGGCAGAGTTCAGTCCCCTGGGAGGGAGCTCGAAGCTCTTGGACACACCCCAGGATCCTACCTTTTATGCTGCTCAGGGAGAGGGAGCGATCCCGGTCTGCCAGGCTGGACCCCACTTTGCTGCCGCTATTGTCCTTTTGCCGAGCAACTGCCACCGCGATGCCCACGGGCAGGTGCCTGACCTCCACCTCGCCCTGAGACCCAATGCTCTCGCGGCCAAAGGACTTGGCACTTTCTGGTCTCTCCAGGTCTCTCTTCAACTGTTTCCCAGCTTGTTGGGACAGCAGCTGCTGGATCTTGGAGGTGCCCAGCTGGGCGGGGTCCAGTTTCATATTGCCAAGCCCTCCGAAGGGGCTCTTCTTGCCGTTGCTTTGCCGAGCCGTTGTCTCCTTGACAAAGCTGCCACTGTATTTGATGAGGTTCTGCATGGCAGACCCTTCGCTGTGGGAGGTGGGGTGTAGAATGTCAGCCGTGCCCCGGGACCCTACCACCGAAGACCTCTGCAGGCCACTGGGGTCGAGGTACGCCTTCTTGACTTCCTCCTCCACCTGGTGGTGCTGAGCGGCCAGCACGGCCATCTGGGTGGTGGCAAAGTTGCCCATTTCAAAGGGCTTCCACTTGTGCTCGGGCGGCTTCAGCTGCCGGTGGTCCAGGTGTTGCCTGGAAGAGTCCAAAGTGCCATATACCTTAGCTGCTTCTTTGGAGCCGGCCCTTTGGAAGCGGTCTCGTTCGCAGGTGCGGCGTTCTGGCTCCGGGCACGGCTTCAGGAAGTCTTTGGTGGCCAGGAACTCCCTGCTTTCTGGAGATCCCAGCCCAGGCCGATTCAGAAAGGGCTCCGAAGCCACTTGCCTCTTCAGCGCCATGGAGTTGGCCCTGATCACGGACCCCTTCTCCCTCAGGGCCTCCATCCTTTTGGCATCGCTGTGACAAGAGAAGTCCTGGGACGAGAGTATGCGGGAGGCGTCGGAGTGACCCCGCTCTGAGGGTGACTGCAACACACCCACTTTGCCCACATCCCTGTCCTTCGCTTTGTTGTCCCGGGCCTGGGAGGCAATCTGGATAGGCCCGTTCCTCTCGTCGTAGGCCTCGACCGAAGGCACGAAGGTGGGGGCGACGACTTTGTGCTCCCTCCCGGGCTCCTTGGCCGGCGGGAAGATGGTATACATGCTGGAATGGACAGACTGGGGTGGGAAGGCGGAGGAGGGAGTCATTTTCCCTGGCTGGGAAGGGTGCGGGGAGGGGCAGCTGCAGGAGACGTGCAAAGCACCTCCCAGGGTCATGGCGGAGTCACTCCTTTTCAGCCTGTCCGAGTGGGCAAGAGCAGAAGGCCTCATGTTCTCGTCATGGCGGTTGGGGTCCTTGGCACAGCGGTCCTGCTCGCTCCCCAGCATTTTCAGCATGGGGTCCCCACCGCCGTTGCAGTTGTTGAGTGAAGAGGTCTGCAGCGGATTCTTGGACTTTGGTTCGCCGCTGCTGGCCCCCCGGTTTGGCATGTGCTCGGCTAGGAATGGGGACAGCCGAAGCCAGTCCCCTTCCGGTCACCGTCGGATCTGGGTTCCTGCGTGAGATCCACCACGCTGCGAGGCCGGGGCTCCTCTTTCGGCCTGCCATCTTTCTTGGGGAAGGGAAGGGAGAGGTCGCTCCGGCAGGCCCGCTCCTTGTTGGGGGTGTCTTTCAGACCCTCCTTGGTGCTCTTGTGCAGGTGCACGAGGTCCTTCTCACGGAGCAGGGCGCTGGGTGTGTGGTTGGCCGCTGTCCTCGAGACGGGAGCTTGGGGGTGCAGGGTAGACTGGCCTGCATGGCCAGAGAAGTAAAACCCATCTGCAAAATTAAATGGAACAGGATTACCTTGGTTTCTTTCACTGCAGACTCCCAGCCATGATGACTCCCATGAGGAGCCCCCAAACTCTAGGCTGTGACTCATGAACATGGGAAGACAGGGCCACGCCAATGTGGGACACGCATTTCGGGGATCGTAGCAAGGGGCGGGACAGATCACCCACCTTTAGTCCTTGATCTTAGCAGAGAGCCAGGACTTCTGGTGTTCTCAGAACATGGGACCATCAGATTGAAGGGGAAGGTTTTGCCAAGAATCCCGCCCCTTCCCCCAACCACAGCACCTCTGTCAAAGGCAGGTCCTCAGCACAGCAGTGATGCATCAGAGAATCTGCCTGTGCCTTTTTGGGAGGTACACACCAGCCTCTCTCGTTCTCAAGGAGAGGGCACCACGGGCGCATCAGAACAACCCGGGAACCTGCTGCCAGGACCGAGATGGGTTAACTACACTCGTGAAGGGTTCATGCTTATCATTTGATTGGCCAAGATTCTTCTCAAGGTACTTTACAGAGCATCACCCAGCTGGCAGGGGGGTTCTGCATTTTAATTCCAGACTGCGCTCAGCTGGAAATGCCTCTCCCTTGCCCAGTGCTGTACTGTAACCATTGAACAGCACCACCCCCTTACCTCTTTGGGGACCAGAGCAAAGTGGCAACTGTATGACAGCTGGCAGGTAACCTGGGAAGGGGTCACAGTCTAGGACAATGGCCACCAGGAGCGAGATTCACATCCCCATCGTACCAGCTGTGAATAGAACAACTCCCACCTCGTCCTGCTCTCCCATACATCTCCTCCCCCACTGTCACCCTGGCTGGAAACCCCTTCAATACAACAGCATGAAGCATCCAGGGATGGGCCGGCTCCAAGCATCAAAGAGTTAACTCAAGAGGCCAGGCTGAGAGGCTTGTCCCTGAAGGCATCCACACTTTGGTATTTAAGTTCCCTGCCAAGGCCTCGCCCTTCTAGGGAGCAGGGTAAGGATGAGTGCAATCCAAGGGCAGACACAGTCTGGCTGCTGGACAGGGGTCTCTGGACACAGAAGAGCACACTGGTGAAATTGGAGGGCCACCAAGGGTCTGTAGTTAGAGTCACTGACAACCGGACACCCATGCGGACAAGGGAAGTCCCCATAAGCTGTGATTTGCACCTCAGCGGCTGACCCCCATTTTCCAGCAGTGGTTGTTCTGTACCCAGAGCATTTGACCCGTTGGTGCTGGTGGTTTGCGTGGGTGCCACTACGCTGGTGGCAGGGCGCCAACTGCAACCAGCATGGCAAAGCCCCAGCGCAGCTGTGATCTTTGATAAAGCCACCCCCTCCCAAGGGAGCACCCCTTCTGTTAACAGATGCCAAGTTTGGGCTCCCATGCAGGGAGCAGGAAGGAGGGTGGCTGCAGCGGCGTCAGCACATGGGGAAGCCAGATGGGGAAGGAGAGGCGAGGATGGAATAATGGACGACCCCGTGCCATTCATACAGACAGCAACACCCACCCCCACCCCCCAGTGCAAAACACCCCGCTGCAAGCCGACTGACCTTTCTGCGACTCAAAGATGCTATGCTGCCCCAGCTGGGCCAGGAGGGGGCTACCACTGCGGGGAGGTTCAAGGTGGCTCAGGGGAATGAACGACGGGTACAGCCCATTGGGCAGATGGGAGAAGCCTGAAAAACAGAAGAGGAAACATGTTTCAGAACAGCCGGCTCCCTGTGTTGGAACAAACCCCACAGAGCTACAGACTGTTATGGCTGGCAACCCCCCCCCTCTCCCCACAAGAAGCAGCTGCTAGACTCAGTGCCGCTCGGCTCCAACAACCCGCCGCGTCATGCCAAGCTGCCAGGGCATGGAGCGTCCGAGTCATACTGCAGGTGCACCATGGAGATCCGCCCAGCAGAGGGCACTGCCTGCTGCCCTCATAGCCCCCTTTGAAGGAGGGCACTTCAGCAGCTACAGATCGCATGGCATACCTGCCCCTAGCCATCCCCCTGCGAAGAGGTGTTGCCCCAGGACACAGGGACCCAACAACATGTCAACATTTGCCACACCCCCACCCACAGCAGCAATCCCACTGTCCCCAGAGTTGTAGCCACAATACTAGCGAGAGACTCCGCAAGACAGCTCATGCAAAGAGCCACCCCAGAACCTGAATGGAGACAGACAAGAACGGCAGCCTGTGCTCAGAGCAGCCTCTGGATGCCTTAGTTAACATTTCCAATTATTTAGACACTAATCATGATCTCTTTATATGGATAGACCTACTGGATGGACTCAGAATGGCTTCATTTTTGTGTTCCAACTTGTTTTCCGGGCTTACTAGTTTGCTTGCTTGCTTTTTTTTTTAGCAATTTTTACGTTTTCAGTAGATATCCAAGGCGGACTTTGTCTTCGTCAGTACACACAGCGCTGGTTCAAACAGCAGTACGTTAAAGCAGTGTTTTTCAAACTATGGCGTGCGACCCAGTACGGGGGCCATGGAATATCAGGGAGATCAGGAGACCGGGGGTGCTAAGGCAGCTACCTGCCTGTGCTAGCACCACTGACCACGCTGTCCCCCAGAAGCAGCCTGCAACAGGCTTGGATCCAGGAGGGGAGGGAGGGTATAGATTGCATAGGGCTCCATGCATTGCCCCTGCCATGAGCACTAACTCCACATTTCCATTGGTTGGGAACATGCTGCTGGCTGTTTCTGGGGTGCAGAATGGGGTGCAAGCTGCCTTAGGTCCCCCGCCCCTCCACCACTGACTGGGAGCCCACTCAAGGAAAGCTGCTCCTTCCCCAGCCCCGACCCACCTCACCCCAAAGCCAGAGCCCCCTTCTATACCCAGAGCTCTCATCCTCAGCCTCACCTCGGAGCCTGCACTCTAGTCTAATTACATTGGGTCAAGGGCATCAACAATTTTCTTCAACGGGGTCACAAGGAAAAAAAAAAAGTTTGAAAACCGCTGGTGTGCACAGAACAATTCATGGGCAACACATCACTGTGCTTTAGAAATCTCGCCCCCTGCTCCGTGTAAACATGCACAGAGACAAGTCTGGGATCAGGAACATGACCTGTGCCAACAAACCAAACTGGGAAAGGGGTGAAGTCAACCCAAAGTGAATAATGATTTCTGGTATTTTTCTGGTGCGCACTGGATGAACAGCAATTGCATTTATTTTTACTGGCCTTTACTGATTAAAACCAAAACCCCCAAGCCCTGGTTATAACCTCTATATGGCTCACTCCTCATGGAGATCTTTCTTCAGCCCGAGTTTTTTTCAGAGCAGGATGGCTTGAACTTTATTCTCGCAGTCACCGTGATATTCCAAGTGGCTGAGGTGCACAGACAATTGCTGCATCCCGGAGTGGGGGTAGATGAGGGGAGGTGGATTTGCTACAGTTCTGTGCATACAATTATATGAAAACAGGGCACATTTGCCCTTTGCCAGCCATGAAGTGTTCACACAGGAACATTCACACTACGTGCGGACAGCAAAACGTGCCTTTTTATTCCATGGGCTGGAGAGAGTTGTAGACCTCATGAGCACTGGTGCAACGAGGAGATTTATTCTCGAGTACCTCACCAGGCATGGGGGGGGAGGGTGAGGAATAAGCCAGCTCTGGGAACAAATTACAGCCAACTTAGCTGGAACTGAAAGTGTCCCATCTGGCAGGGCCTATGATTACAACAAAGGGAGGAGACCCAAACCCATTTCCCTCCTGACCTCGGGCTTGAGTTTCAATTCCACAACTGCTGTGAGCAGACACCAGCCGAAGTCCATGGGAGTTCTGCACACGGAGCAGACTCAGTCATGAGAACATGGACATTTTGCAGCCTGCAAATCAACACAAGGGAGCAAATACTCTCCAAGCTACGCTCTCGGCTACACAGCTGACCTGGCCGCCCCCACCAGGCGTTTGCCCGGGCCTTCGTGGGCATGAGGCAGAAGGGACAACACAGATTCTAGTATTTGGGGAGACGAATCTCTGGTGCCAAGAATGTGTTGAAGAAGCAGCTGCTCTAAGGGGCTGCCTGCAGGGCACCATCCCATGACTTGCTGTTTTGTTTTTTTCCATTGCCCACAGCCATCTCTGCACAAAGGCCTTATCCAGGCTCTTTCCTGAAGATTTCCCACTTGATGCAACTCCACTCATGCAGGACTTCCTAGCAGCCTGTCCACACTGGCAACGTCACCAGAACTCCCCCCACTACCAGCCATGCT